CTGATAAACTTTATCAACGTGTGTGTTGTTTTGTTCGTGCGTGTGTGTGCATGCATGTGTTCGCGTGTGTTATCGCGCGTGTGTGCATGTCTGCTATGTTCGTGCGTGTGTGCGCATGTTTGTTATGTTCGTGCGTGTTTGCATGTGTGTGTGTAATGTTCGTGCGTGTGTGTGCATGCATGTGTTCGCGCGTGTCATCATGCGTGTGTGCATGTCTGCCATTTTCGTGCGTGTGTGCGCATGTTTCTTATGTTCCTGCGTGTGTGCATGTGTGTGTAATGCTCTTGCTTGTGTGCATGGGTGTGTGTAATGTTCGTGCGTGTGTGCATGTGTGTTATGCTTTCGCGTATGTGTGTGTTATGTTCGTGCGTGCATGTGTGTATGTATTATGTTCGTGCATGTTGGTCATTAATAGTCTGACCTATCGGGATTTAGTCCTTTGGAATCCTACAAAACCGAAACCATCACCTTGCCAGTTGATAGAACAAGCTTTGCTGTATTCATCGGAGATGTTCGATGTTTCCACTGCTTTGATTGTTTTGTTTCGGGTTGATAGGTGGATCTGCAAAAAACGACGTAAATTGATGCACCTGGAGCGTTTCCGAGAAGCCTTGGAATCCAGCTTACTGAAACCTTTGTCGGGACCACTTCATTCCTCAGAATGTTGTCAATTCTCTTATGAGGCATGCTTACTGCATTGACTATGTAACGTGTGATGAGTCAACGATCATTCAGAACAAGATGTAGTATTTCATGAACATTTTCGTTAGTGGTTGCAGTTCGAGGTCTTCCTGAGTTACTCTCTTCCCCTCTTGAACTCTGCATCAGTGGCCACGAAAGACGCATCATCCCGTGCAGTCCGCTTAGATGGCTGTTTGAGTTTGCCCTTGCAGTTGGTAGATACTTGATGACCGTTCCGAATCTAATATTGTCCAATGCAGTCAACAGAAAATACCTAGACACTTTGCTGCCTGGTTGTGTATTTGGTTCAAATGCATCCTGTAAACATAGGAAGTATTGTACTTAATACATTCAACTGTTGCGGGTGCACTCTACATCCTTTGTAGTTATGTTCAGAGCTTGTGCTCGTCTGTGCATCATCATCCTTACATTTGGTTAGGGCACCTGTTTAGCATGTAAAATTGATCAAGAGAGTCCACAGACTGGGAGAAAACGATCATAAGCATAGTGTGTCTTCGTATCGTAAACATGATATATATTAGCAATAAAAACTGTATTATGAGAGCTTTTGGTAAGCTTAATACATATAAATTTATTTTTTTGACATTTTTTATTCCTTTCAAAGGGTTTATTACATATAATTTATCCCAATGATATTTACGATATGGAAACACATGACATAATCTAATGCTTAAAATAACAGAAGGTTTAGAGAAACTGTTAGTCACTGTGGTAATAATTTCTGAACCTCATCGGAATGTAAAGCCTGAGTTAACCGCATTATTAATGATAAAGTAAGAAATTATTTGATACGGTATATGTTTATATAGCACTCATAGATCGTGAAAGCGCTAGCTAAAATATTCCAGTCCTTGCCGACAGGTGTACACTCACTATATATACTTCATCCAACCCGAGTCCAGTTTTTGAGGAAAACAAATCAGGTTTCCTTTCATAAAACACGCTCACGTAACAACCCCTTTATACTATCAAAACCTGCCCGCCGAGACACCTGTAGTCGGGAGAACGTGAGAGAGTCTAGCTTGATCAGCTGCCTGTTGGTTATTTGAGATGCTATCACAAGTATTCACTGACATAAGATTCGCAGGGCAAATGCTGAAATCCATGTTGATATCATGCACACAACTGCTTTAGCAGCCTCCACTAACTTTAATACTCGTGTGCACAGCTACACCGGAATGCAGGTCAACCAAGCCTGCTTGCGAGTTTGGATAGCCGTGAAATGCAATTGTTACAGAATGAATTATTTCTACAATATGACGGGAGCCAGTTTTTCTTTGATTGTTCTTTATAAGTAGTTTTAAACTACATACTGGCATACCGATTATTTTTTGTAATAGTTGGTAGAGAATGTGTGCTGATATCGGAGCAGTATCACCTGTGATATCAGGTAAACGTTGACACGTTGAAAAGTTTTTCACAGGCATTGTTGATCTGTTCACCCGGATTATCGTCTGTGCAAGACATGTTTCATAAACTCAAAACAGTATCAGTATCAACGTATTACTGTGCGAATAGAATGACCAAATTACGAGATAATCTATCATATTATCAGGGTGACTGCTGTGGGTATTTTTATATTTTAGTACCGTGAAAAAACATTAGAGAGAATGACTTCACCCTGCGTCTGTGATATATTTCATGAAACGTGAGACTTTGGAAAACATATGTCATGTGTCTTTAATTCATTTACCCGTTTTGAGTAAGCTGCCCCCCCCCCCCCCCCCCCCCCTCTCCCTTTCAACCCGATCAAGCCAGTTTGTCTATAAATAGAGCCAGCTCATATACATCGCGCAGTATACGCAGACAGAAGGTAGGATGAACTTAATTAAGAGATGTTAATATCTTCACGTTTGTTTCACGGCTTCTATTTAGGTTGATATGGTTTGGTATAGACTTTATCAACGTGTGTTTTATTATATTCGTGCGCGCGTGTGTGAGCATGTTTGTTATGTTCGTTCGTGTGTGCATGTGTTTGTCTTATGTTCCTGCCTGTCTGTGTTGTTATATTTGTGCTTACAGTGTAAGTGTGTCTCTGTGTGTGTCTTGCTCATGTTTGTATGTGATATGTTCGTTCCTGTGCGTGTGTCTGTAGGTTAAGTTCATGTATGTGTGTGCATGTGAGTATATGTGTTATGTTTGTGCGTATGTGTGCACGTGTGTATGTGTGATATGTTAATACATGTGTGTGTATGTGTGTTGTTATGTACGTGCGTGTGTGTTGGTAGTGACAAATACTAAAATTTATCAAGTAATTGTTCGGGAGTTTGATATAAAAAATTGAATTGCAAAACAAAGAAGGAATTGTTTCCAGACCAGATGTATGCAGTTTACGAACAACGTTGTCTAAACTACATGACTTCAGATAAAGATTCATAAAGCTTTTAAACGTCATGTGTACTCAAATTGAAAATATTGCTGGAAGTGGGGAGGACAAACTCACTCAGTCACCAGATAAATCTACTGCAGAGGTTGACAATGTTTCAAACGCATTGTTTTCTGTGTGAATTTATACAAGTGTACTATCAGCTAGACTTGTGTCTGCATGACATGCACAATCAGTAGCTTCAAATCGGGAACATATTCTGAATGAACTAAACCTTTCCACCTGAAACATCAACATTGATAACTGATCTGTTCAGTCCAGCTGGTCTGTTCATTGTAGCGACATCTCAGGTGGAAGCCTTGTAGCGACATCTCAGGTGGAAGCCAGTTTTGGATGATAAATAACATCTTAACCCTCGTGTTTGTGTTCTTTGCAAGAGAGAGAGAGAGAGAGAGAGAGAGAGAGAGAGAGAGAGAGAGAGAGAGAGAGAGAGAGAGAGAGAGAGAGAGAGAGAGAGAGAGAGAGAGAGAGAGAGAGAGAGGAACGTTTATTGACTCGTGTTGAAATATTTTATATCAAACGACACTCGGGAGAATTTTTATACTCGGATCATTAGCAATTTGGATCTACTGTGGTCATTTGATGATTTCACAAATTATTTCTGTTTCGAGGTAGTTTCAAAATTGAAGCACACACACAAGGTTTAACCCTCAAATCTAAATTGTCAGCTCAATAGATAACCACACGAGATCAATGACTAATCAACAAATTATATTCAAACACATAGCTATAGGTTAACATTAAAGTAACATTGTTTCTTTGTATATATTTTACCAGACAAAACATAATGTCATTAGATCGGATGATTTATTTCGGTTCTTTAAGCTGGTGGCATACTTATATCCAGAGTGGGGTGTGGTATGTCAAAACAAAAAAAAGGTAGTGAGTTTTTGTATTCTACTGTGATTGGCGTACTTGATCATGACCCTGCCCTGAGGCAAATGGGGAACTCCCTCACCTTCATAACACTTTTGCATAAACAAACTTATGTAAAACATGTCAGAACCAGAGAAAAGACAGCAAAAAGACTGTATATCATTTAATACGATGCATGTTGTATGTCACAACGTTTCGCTTGTCTCCATATCTCACATGCTATGTAATATTGATTAGTATGTCATGTGTTTATTCAACTGCGAGTTTAAAGTATGTGCCTTATCTCAGTTCGCTGTTATGCAAACAATATCAGCGCAGTTAGGCCTCTTCGGTGGTCATATATCATGTAAGGCAGGACAGACTGGCTGACCTACTTTGTGAGCGTGTGGCTGTGGCTGGTAGGTATGCAGTTGTAAAGTAAATGGATCAAGTTGCAAATATCTTTCTCATATGCAGCAGGGGGCTGTAAGACTTGTCAAAGTAAAACATTTACTAAACAAACTTGAAACTTTGTCTTCAAGAAACCCACAGGAATAATGGAGGCTTGTCAGGGAACACACTGAAAATAACTTTGATGAAAAACAAGGTGACACATCTACAGAGGAGTGGGAAAATCACTTCACTACGCTAAATTGTTACATAACAGATAACACAGAATTTCATTTTAATATCTCAGAATCTCTATTAAATCAGGACACAAAAGAAATTAAACTAGAAGATAAACCTGGAATAATTCTCAAATAACAGCCTCAGAACTTTACACTGCTGTGTAAAACGTTGCAAATCTGGTGGCCCAGATTTGATTCTGAATCAAATAATTTGTAATTCTATTACTTTATTGGCCGACCACCACATGAAGTCATTTAATATGATTTTGGACAGCAGTATATTCCCATCACAGTGGAGAACTTCCTACATTCTTCCAATACACAAGAAGGGGGGTGTTGACGATGTTAATAACTAAAGAGGGATCGCCCTCGGAAGCTGACTATCTAAAATTGTGCTCGGTATTATCAGCTCGCGAATAATATCGCACATGGAATCATCCAAGGTGTTTGATAAGAGACAGGCTGGCTTTAGAAAAGATTTTAGAACATCTGATATCATCTTCATACTGCGGACTCTGATTCAGAAATATAAGAAGTCTAAGAAGAAATGGTATGCTTGCTTTGTTAATTTTAGTAAAGCTTTTGACACTGTGTGGAGAAATGGTCTGAGACACAAGCTACTAAATAACAATATAAATGAGAAAAATCTATAATCTACTTGAAAATATATACTCTACACTTTATTATGCTGTGAATACTCCCATTTGTTCTAATATTGGTGTCAAGCAAGGATGTGTCTGCAGCCCTACCATCTTTAAGATAGAAGATGAAAAACACTTCCTTTTGTACTGTCCAAATTATCAGAATGAAAGGCAGATACTTCTTTGAACACTAGACTTAAAAAACTGCCAAAATGGTATTATACTATTGGCAAATATCCTAAACCTCTGTCCCGAAAAAGCAAAATATGTTTCACAAATTATCTCCGACATGTTAATAAAAGAACCTCTCTTATAGACAACATCTAGATATGACCTTATGATTATTATGTCTTATCAATGCAGTATCTGCATCATTAAAGTACACGCTGTCAGCCACCTCATGAGTCTTGATTCACACAGTAGAAAGAAGGAGTGCGTGAGGGTGGACTTAAGAACTGCATGAAAGAGGTGTTCAGACTTGGAGGAAAGTCAAAAATCGACATTTATTACTTCGATTAAGCTGGCTGGCACATGTATGCTAGGGCTTCATCGGAGTGAAAGTGGAATGGGGAATTCTAAAATGCTTCACTAAAAGATCAAAATCACCGACTGTACTTTATCCTGTAATAGAGGATAGTTACCCGATTAATCGCAAAGAACAACGAAGAACGAAGCGTGGATTATTTCACGATAAAACTTTGTTCTATCATGACGTCATTTCTGGAGATTCGAACTTGCACTCGCAACGTGCACGTTGCCAGTCTGTATGCAGACAGACAGTTTTGTTTGAATACAAAGGCCCACATTACATTGCCAGAAAAGGTTGAAGCGCAGGTGGTAGTATTTACAATTGCCACAACAGGGCTTCTGGTTTTATTAATATATGTGACGATATATACTTTTCAGAAAACGTAGGGGATGATGAAATATAAATATATAAATATGAAGTTTTAAAACAAATATATGTGTTCGTGACATATTTCCCATGTTAGAACGTTTGTTTGTAAAATATAACAAGAAAACACATCCGATATTTTGCACGTGCAGCGCGCATTGGCGGTTAACCAATGTGGACCATTACTTCTGTCAGTCTTATTGATTCGGCTCATCATACAGTTGTGATTTACCTCCTTTCAGTCATTTTTTGTGAAAGAGACGCATCTCTGCACAGCGAACTTTGTTAAGTTGTAGTCAATTTACACTGCAAACACGAAAACGTCGTTTTTTCCGAATATGGTCATTGGACGGAAAACGACGTTATTTGGATGCTTTCAAACCATCGTTTTTCCGTCCAAATAACGTCGTTATTTGACATCGGAATTTACTGGGAGAGAACGATATCATCAGGCTCCTCCCTTTCTTGATTGGCATTGTCAATCAAGCAGCAGCGTCTACCGGTATTCCTACTTCTCAGATTTCCTTGGTCAGTTCTCGCGTGTTAGATTACAGGCCCGAGCTTTTACTCGAAGCGCTTAGAGGAAGTACTGAAATCAATCGTTCTACGCATGCGGATTGCTTAATGCCTTGTCCAAATTTTCCGTTCTGTGCATGCGCGATTTCGCGTTTTGTTTCCACTATATGTCACCACTATTTGACAGTGATTCGTAAACACGGTCTCCTGATGAGTTCGGAATCGTACAATGTCGCTTTAATTTATGGCACGTACTTGATCGGCGCGTATTTCCCATTAACAAATACAATGATAACGGTAATAATTTTAGACAAAATAATTAGGAAAGCGCAAGGCTCAGGAACGTCTGAGTATAGGAAAAGGATTTATACTTTCGAAAGTTATATAATCGTCAAATACGCAAAAGAATATCAACCGGCTTTTAAAACTTATTTTTGTAGAAGGTGATCTTGGTTTTTATTGCCAGATAGTATATGCATATACATTTTCCCGATATTGCTTATTTTAATGTTTATTAACAGTTTTAAGGTTCGTCCGCCTAATTGACGGGATTCCACTTTCTCATTTGAACATGACACTTAAACAGTGTTCTGTTACCGTAAACAGATTAATTTCAAATTACAAACTGGTGATATCTATTCAGACTAATGCTTAATCTCTAAAACTGTATAGTTTTGAAAGAAACAAGTAACTGCATTTCAATTGAAAAGGAGCCCCAGTTATATGGGAGATTCCGAGATGAACCTACTCTATGGATATCTAAGCTGCCACCCAAACCGACCCAAACGGGACCCGATAGCTAATTGTATGCTATATAGTCACATGGAAGTGCACTAGAATTATACATTTTATTCCGGACGATTGTGTTCTTTCATCTACTTTTAAATTTTGCCTATACACTAATCTGGACGTACTACTCATTGTTCTATTTATGTCTTCCTATTATTTATATATATATATATATATATATATATTAGATATACATTAACACATGTTACCATTCTAAAGTCATACTCTCATATAACCTTATATTGTTCATAGTATCAAAGTTTATTCAACAACATCAAGAACAGCAATTTAAACTACTGAAACACCCAAACACAAGGCTGTTATCAAGCGCTGGTGCAGACGTGATGCATCGTAACTGTATCGTGATGTCTTCAGAAATACAATTTCTTGCAACATTTATACTACGAGATAGTAAGGCTAACGCTTACTCACCGGCGGAACGTAGACAATATCGCTAATATAGATATCACGTATTTGAATGTTAATACTAAAGACAACACTCATTATTTTTGCAGTGACGATGTAACACTTATACACGTTTGTTGGTGACTTTCATCAGTTTTGCTATTAATTTTAATAACTTTGCTTTCACATATACAAGAAGCAATACCCGACTAGCCTGTCATACATACTTATGGGGCAGTTTTCAATCTTGTACTGACTTACTCTTGTGTTCCTGAGGGGAGGTTATTGGCTTGGGTGTTATACCCCGTTTTTCTGGTAATCCTATTATTACTTCATTTTTATCGAATGACACCCTGTTCTCTGGATCAGGGCTCCGTGACTATCCATAACAATTAAGATGAACATTCAGATCAAGTACATGAATGAGTTTGTTTTGACGCCACAGTCAATCAAAGACCAATGCTGTGCGGTTTGATTACACACTTCTACCAGGTGGAATATCGTGGATCTTTTACTACCTAAAGAGAATCATAGTTCATAATGCTAATCCATCTATTGCCTACGAAAACCATCCCGCTCAAGATGACCTTACTTGTTGTTAAATCCATCATTCTATCCCCCCGTTCTCTGCACTGACAGAAACTGGATATACTGACACACAGATGTTATAGATATTTAAATAACCCCTGATCAAATAGATGCCCTTCGTTAATCTCTGTGTGGAGTACCGTATATACGAGATGCAATGGGCTATTCATGGCATATCACAGGCTTTTATGGATTGTGAACCGGCCTCGCGATATCTAATCCGCTGTCCTCGCATAGATATTAACATATCTTCGAGATCTGTCTGAATGAATGGCGTGACAACATTCAAGAAATACGTTAACGGTTATGTGAAATATTAGAATGATTCCACCACAGAAGCCAAAGTTGTTTGATTCTTCGGTAGCATTTTCAATAAATGTTGTTCACGAAAGGTTCCTGAATACATTAATCGAGATTACGCTATTCGCATGGATGACCTATTTATGCACAGATATATCTAGATCAGTGACGCTAAGCCGGTGACCCGTACCCAGATTCGGACATACAGTGGAACACTCACTCACTCACTCACTCACTCACTCACTCACTCACTCACTTACTCATTCACTCACTCACTCACAATCTATCAATCTATCTATCAAACAATCAATCAAAATGGAAATCGAGTGACGGATGCTTGACTCATTGTAAGTCTTTGTAGCCATTGTATCGTTGCTAGTGGTACCAGTTACCGGTTTGTGCTAGACGAAGCATTGACGAAGCAAAGAGTTCAATCAGACGTCTCCTTGAGGGAGACTGGTATCACACCTGTGATCCCTGGCGATAAGAAATATGACATTGCGTACCAGGCCAGCAGTTAGACGTATCAAAAATCGTAAATTCTACTCGGCGTAATATATATCTTGCACGTGTACGTAAACAAACATGTGTTTGGTAACTTGAGTAGGAAGCATAAGTGCACGAAGGGATGGTATTTCAGATGACAGATGAAAGAAGACCGAATGATTGTAACCCAAATTTAGTGACTGGTGGCCGTGTCGCACACACGAATTTTTAATAAATGTCTCCTCGAGAGTCAGTAAGAAACTAGAAATAACTGCCTTTGTTCTGTAAATCTCACCAAGTTTCAGCTTTCGCCTCTTCCTTTGTGGAATGAGGTTTCACATTTGTAAAATGATCTCTGTTATCTGTCTGTACCATCAGCTTAACTGCCCTCACCCACTGCAGTTTTTCCGTCCCATATTACCAAGCAGGTGACCCACAAGGAGGAATACGGCCCTCCCTCAGTCCAGACTCATGAGTTATACTGTGCCTACCACAACAAGTAGAGATTGCTGCAGAGCATCAATAGCTCCCCGCCATATAATGTTATGTGCAGAGGAAGGAAGTGTAAGCTATGGGAGGAGAGAATTTGTGTTAAGTACAAATTGGTTGTTATTAATGTACTTATCTTTGGAAAGCACAAAAGAGGAAAAAGTGTCTTAAATTGGTCAGCACAAAGAAATCCCAGGCAAGAAAACTGGGCCTGTCAGGCAAAACTTGATGTATACCCACTATTAGTACCAATAAAAAAAATCCTATATAGATAACATAACAAATGTCACTCTAAAGCATGCTTTTGCAGCAAATATCAATATTTCTGGTCAAAATGTTGGTTGGTTTTAATAAAGCAAACTTTTAAAATAGTAAACACAAAAAATGTAATGAATACACTCTAAATATACTTCAGTTCAAATGTAAAAATTCACGCAATCA